CATTTAATTTATCAACACTTAATTATTTCAATATTTGCAGCAGAAGTAATTAAAACGTTTGCTGTTATTGCGTAATTATCGCTAATGTTCCAAATACGGAATGGTTCTTAGTACTTCATTATTGCTTTTTATTATTTTTTTCTCGTTGTAAGTCCTGCTTTGTTTTATGTTATTCTAATTAAAATATGTGATAATTATATGTCTGTATTGTGTTCATTTATTTATTTACTAGCTACTTCCGCGCGGTTTTACTCGCTCTGCTCGGCGCCTATTAATTGTAGCGTGATATTTTATAGCCTTAGGCTATATGATAAAATGAGCTATCTAATACAGAAAGAATTTTTCAAATCGGACCAGTAGTTTCGGAGATTAGCGCGGTCAAACAAACAAACAAAAAAATAAACTCTTCAGCTTTATAATATAAGTATAGGTTAAGGATTGAGTATACCTAATATCTTATTAACTAAACTGTTGATATGTTCCAACTGCTGACTGATTCGTTTTCTTCATTTAATAGCTTTATATTTGGTAATACAATTGCAATGATAATGTATTTGCAACTTTAATGGGCGATCCTTTAAAGTATATCGGTCATTCACCTTAGGACATTGTAGAGAGCCCGATACGATTAAGTGATGTCACATCAAAAATTATTAAGTAATACAATATATTAAGTACTTTTGTTTTTGTACCTTAACTCTTGTTATCTGGGTTTACGGAAAGGTCACGTTCTTTAATCTTGGAGTCATTATGTTGATACAACTATAATATTTAATTGTGAATGAAGACACAAGCAATCGATACTCAGGTCGTTAATATTAAATAGCTTTTCGAGCACCGCTTTGCAATTCGTTTAAATGGACGACCGATCATAGATAAATATAGTTTGAATGGATACCGATAAATTCGGTTTCACGGCGGAGGTTTATTCGTTTACGTAAACTTTGAGATTGGCTCTAACAAGGCTGGGAGAGGCGGAGAGAACGCCGGTGATTTCTACTCTTAAAATCCAATTTAAATGCATTCCTCTGTGCCACAGGAGGGCCCGCCGATACGCCCCGGGGGCCAATTAACTTATTCATCCTTAACATTTCATTGCTCAACTTGGATACTACTTTTACGCTTTAGGTACTTTCTACGTCTCATCCTTATGGGTACGGTATGATTACCTGCCGTTAACTACAGCTCTTAGATTTGCATAACATAAATACTTTCAAGTACTCCGCCGTTGTCTTTTTGTGAAAAGATCGACTAGAGTTCGTGGCAGGTTACACCAGAATAGTATCTTTGGTAGCACAACGAAGCGTGACGTTTGCAAACTAGTTTCTGTGATTCGAGTCATTTAGCTTCACCTCTAGACCACCTCGCACGAATTTATTATAAAGAAGATTGCTTTTTGAATACTTAGTCTTAAAAAATAATGTCGATACAAACCAATAACAAGTAATCAGCAAACATGAAAGGTCTCCAAGATGTCCTCCCGAAGTCTCGGAAAGTCATTTAAAATGCAATTTGAACAGCCTAATAGAAACGTTCTCACTAAGAATTGTTGCAAAGTGTAATGGGTGCAGGTGAAATTAACGCAGAAAAATAGGAAAAGTTAGAACGAGTTTCCCGCCAAGGTTTTTTGCCTTCGCCAAGTAGCGCTGTGATTGTAAACCGGTGAATTTATAATGCTATTTTCGAACTCCACTTCATCGAGAAGTTTTAAACCGGTTCATAATTTTACTGAGAGTACGTAACGTTTAGTATTGGAAGGTAAATTCAATGAGTGCGAGTTGAGCAATAAAAGCGATTTATTTGCGTACATTGGGGGCGTTTGATAATGAGTTTGATATAGTGGTGCGAGCGGAACAGAACACGAACACATTCAGGGGAACACTTTGCTCTGTAAGCGGCGTGCCTAATGTGACGTATGGCTTCCTGCACTGCTGAATTTTCCAAATGACTGTTTCCGTGTCTGCGCCGTTGGAAAGGGTTGGAAATGATTTATCTTGCAGGAAATTCACGGCCACAATTTTATTAATGCAATATTTGCACGAAAAGCGAATAACTGAGGTCAATTTAATTAAACTTTGTTTTTATACACTTTATCAACAATTAGACGAGTGACTGTTATAAAAACACCACTAATCTATATCAACATTAGACAAAGCTTACAACTCTTATCATTATCTAAGAGGAAAAAACAAGGAAGACATCAACACAACCCTTTAAAAATGTGTTTGCAATTGAATTATGGATAAAAATAAAACGTTGCTTTCAGACATTTCGGACCCTATTTATTTGAAAAGGATGAGATGACTCAAGCAGATTCGTGCGATAGCCGCGCGCCCTCTGTGGATTACTTTGCAAGTCTTTTATACGAGAGGCCAGTATCATCACTACTTAAGGATATTAAAATCCCCTATTTGTGTAAGGAGCTTGTTTTCTCGCTGACTGTGGACCGTTTATCGAATAATCCTGATAAAGCTGAGTGAATTGAGCGTATACAATACTGACGTAGAATAGGAAAACCGCGAACATGGTCAGGGAGTCAGACATCTGTATAAGTACTCTGAGTGTCCTATTTTTGTTTTAGGGGGGAAAATCATCGTATGACTGTTCCCGCCTGGGTGAGGCGGGAGGGAGTGTCACTCTTACTGACTAAAAACCACCCCGTTCCTTCTCCTGCACGTCGACCGCCCCGGTAACCCGTTAGGTTCTGTGTCCTATAGTTTTTTATTTTGATTATCACTAGGTATTTTAGTTAATCAGTAACATCCCTAAACTGTGTATTTAAGTATAAGATATGTCTTATAGGAGAACTTGGGTCATGTCATAGACATAGTCAGATTTACATCTGACTGACTGATCTGATGTTATGTTACCATAACATATTTTATATCCCCGAACGGGTAGGCAGAGGTGCATATTACGGCACTTAATGCCACTGTACAATGTAACGCCCACTTTTCACCATTAATGTTATGAGTCTAATGTAGTAGGTAAGCCTTTTGCCATATACCAGGCGCAATTCCCGTACACAGTACAGTACACAGAACCCGACCAGACCCGGAATCGAACCCGAGACCCCTCGCTCGACCAATCGGCCAACGAGGCAGTCAGATAAAATGTACTTTTACTTTTATTATGAAGCATAGTCGTTTTTTCGAAAAGTTACTTCATCAAAAGCTACCACCTACTCTATAATGTTCTTCGTAAGTGCAACTATATTATTAATAATTATGTCAATTTATATGAATAGTAGTTGTATTTTAGTTTTAATGAGAAAATCCCGCCGCAACCTCCCAAAACCGCTTCAACTCCTGTGAGCCAGGATCTACAGTGGATACAACCATGAAAACACCGGAACACTGAAGTCCGGCGCGTCCCAGGGACATGGGTAACTGTCTTGGTTCCCGCAACGAATGAATCAGTTGTATGTCAATACAATTAAAAACTGTTTGACAGTGGCGAATTATTTTAGAATTGCCCTACACATTTTTCTCGAACTATTCCAGATTCTTCGCAGTGAATGACCTGCAGCTAATTCTAAGCAATCTTTTTCCCTAACAACACATTTTTCACTTACTATTTCTAAGAATTATCCAGTAATCTCCAGTTAAAGTGAACTTTAACTTATATAACAATTGATTAATCAAAGTTCTTCTTGTTGAAAATGAACGTATAATGTTATTATTTTGATAAGAGGATTCTACGAATACATTAGATAAGTGCGATTTGTAAATATTTATATAGATAACTGAGTACAAGTGTATTTAACTTGGCGACGTAGAAACTAAAGGCCTTTGAAGATATTCTACGTACTTTAAAATAATAAGAATAATACTCAATGGACCCCATACGAAGACAGCTAATTGACACTAAACTAAAGATGTATTTATTAAAATCATATTTAAATACATGTCAAAATATTACCAAGGTCTCATTTGCGACTTGACCTTAAAAATAACAACATAATATTGATAACGGGAACACGAAAATATATATAATGCGAAGATACTAAGATACTGTGTATTTTGTAAAGTGAGATCGTATAGATTGGTTTCTGAGGGCGACATTTCGCAATATCAGTGTATTTATTTGACCCTTATTGACTTGAACCTAGGAGTTAAGTAAATTCGACCTAAATTTGATAATTATTGTGATACTTAGAGCATTCAGTTGATGCAAATCTTTGGGACCGAGAGAAAGTGTTTCTGTGTGATTAATATAAGTTCAACAATATAATTTGATTTGCATTGAGGAAATTCGGTAAGTACGATTTCTTTTTATTTTTACCTAGTAATCTTAATAGAACATGGGACGTAATTATGCAAATCCCTCAGTCTCCCCAATCCCCAAATCCCCCGCAATCCTCAAATTACCAATTCCCAAAATGCTGGTAACGCACTTGTAACGCCTCTGGTGTTTAAGGTAGGTGGCGCCGATTGCCATCAGGATTACCATCAGGTGATCCGTCTGCTCGTTTATCGGCTTATCCCATACAAAAACCAAGTCATCTAACTTAGACATTCCTAGTTAGTCCATATAGATTAAGATAGCAAGGATAAATATAATGAATTTCATTAATTAACACATTTCATTATAAACTCGAAAATATCCGCATTTTCGTAAATTATAGAATGTTAAAAACTCTTTCAGGGTTGTTTTCGACTTATTGTCAGTTTACAAACATATAATAAAACAAATAATATTATCTATTGAATAATAAACCCTGGAATTGTATCTAATAATATCTGATAAGCCTTATGCCCACGACGCGTCATTTGACGAATGCATGCTACCAATGACAACTCGGCGGCTTACAATTAGTGACAAATGCTTTTGTCCACGAAGCAGTGACGTTGCATTTGCCTATCGTCATTTGTCGTTTGCATGTATTCGTTGGAAGATTCGTTGTCGACAGTAGGCGATAATTAAGTCTCCAAAAGTTCTTCTTTGGAAATTAATAAACATCATGCTATGTTTTATTATATTACAGAGACATCATCAGGATGAATAAAGCTCTGATTTTCCTGCTAGTAACATTAGCAGTTCTGGCGCTAACAGAAGCGAGATCTTGGTAAGTCTGTACATACAGACACAGACAAACACTGAACATTTTACCTTAGCAAAAGTTTTTCTACCAACCGCTAATCTGGCGCACCAGTCTCGATTCCTAAGGGGTCTAATTCCCACAGCGAGCAAAGTGTAATTGCGTTTTTACGTGTTGTTCCCCATTTTAAGATTGGAATTGGGATTGCACTCGATAAATGGGGACTATCATTGTTTTAACAGCTTTACCGAGTTAAATGATTATTACTTATAGACTGTAGCCGTTATTGCAGATCGGGTAAAATGTAGCATTGAAGTAATAGTTGTAGGATCTTTACAAATAATGACAGAAATACAACTATTTAATCTCAATAATTTCCGAACGATATTTAGACTCATTTTTATTTAAATATCATAATTTATATAACTACATAAATATTTACAACTTAAAATTAACTACAACTAAACTATTAAATAAAAAGAAAGTAACAGAAAACAACAAAAATTATACCCTTAATTTAGCCGTCAAAGTATTCGTCCGCATCACTATCACAGGGGAAAGTTCCCAGAAGACTGGCAGCATTGCCACGTTGAATGGCAATGCTTATTTTCTTTTATTATCTCAATAATGTGTAATTCGAAATATGTTCATGACCTTTTAGACATATAATATAACATACCAGAGAGTGATTTGGACATTAATCAGCTCAAAAATACTTCTATTTATATTTTGTTTTTTTTTCTTATTTCAGTGGTTCCCGATCACGATGTGACCAGTGTTGTGTAAGTACCATATTATACGCAGGAGCATATTTTTTATCATTTTCCTCATACAGTTTAAGTATTGGCGATATAACTTATCGACGCTATATTTTGTTGCTAATTAGCTTTGTTATCATTTATTTTTATATTTTAATTATTATTTAATTATGTTTTTATTAGTTAAATAAGTAGCTGATAGGGACGAAGGTATAGGTAAAACTGGATTGTGACAGAGTATAGGTTTACTAATTAAGAGTGTAAAGTATTGAGCTCACTGCAGATATTCATTAGAACTTGTTTAATATTTTGTATTTGTAAAAAGGTTTTTATGTTTAAAGAACTGCATAAAACTAATAATTTAATCTATACTTATAATAAATCTGTAGAGAGGTCAATTCTGTACATAAAATATATTTAAAAAATAACTATCAAGGGGTGGTTAGGGATCGCTACTGATGCCAAAAATGCAATCAGTAAAATTTTTGTCTGTCTGTCTGTCTGTCTGTCTGTATGTTCGTTATGGAAACAAAAACTACTCGATAGATTTTAACGAAATTTGGCACAATTATTCTTCATACTCTTGGGCAGGTTATAGTATACTTTTCATTACGCTACAATCAATAGGAGCAGAGCAGTGAAGGGAAATATTGGGAAAACGGGAGAAGTTACTCCATTTTTTAAGCTTCCGTCGCGTGTGCAGGCTTATAGGTTAAAGCTGCATAGAAACCATGTATGACGGAAATATTCTCCTTAAAATTATATAAAAAATATTCCTCGACAGCATATGTCTATCTTTTATGGTTGACTCACAATAACAGGTGAAACTCCCGATAGCTTAGCAATTCGGTGATTTCTGATTGTATTTGTCTACTCTAACGTTCACAATACTCATTCATAGACTTTACGCTGTAACTGAAAGGCCAATGGTTGAAATTAGCTTGACTCGATATTAAAAATGAAAATATGTGAGTTTATGTGTATGTTTGTTACTCAGTCATATTAAAACCACTGAAGGGACCGGGATGAAATTCGGAACAGAGGTAGATTATGGTCTGAAGTGATACATAGGCATTTTACCCCTGGGATCGCGGGCGAAGCCGCTGGCAGAAACTAGTATGAAATATATTGCATCTATATGCCTCGTTGGCCGAGTGGTCGCAAGTGCAATTGCCGGGCAAGGGGTCTCGGGTTCTATTCCCGGGTCGGGCAAAGTATTACTGGGATTTTTATGAATTTTCAGTAGTAGCACGGGGTCTGGAATTGTGCCCGGTACATGGCAATAGGCTCATCCCCTATTACATGGGACTCATAACATAAATAGTGAAAAGTTGGTGTTACATTGTACAGTGGCATAATGTGCACCTCTGCCTACCCCTTCGCGGATAAAAGGCGTGATGTTATGTTATGTAATACATTTATAAATAAACAAATATATGGAATCTGTATTTGCTTGATCCAATGGTAGTAAATAAAATAGTAAACGGAGAAAAGCTAAACATAAAAATGTAACTTTTTGATGTTTTTTAAACTGTCAAACACCGCGAGAACACCGGTGACCGCAACCTATTGTTCTTTAATTGTATCTATAATGACGGTACTCAAAGGGTTAAGCATGGAAGTACAGTACTCTTAGTTGGTCCTTAACCTTTAAAACATTAGCACTTTAATTTGATCAACTGTATGTGTCTGGCTGAATTTGACACCACATACGAGTGCACCAGACTAAAGAGGAAATCTTTTTAGAACAGTGCTCACCTATTAATTTAAATAACCTTGGACATAATAGCCAAATGACGTAAAATAATATTAAGAGCAGATCACGGGTGAAGGATGCGGTATATCAGTGGTTTCAAATTTGTGCCAATTGTTGTTATAACCCACCGAACATCTGGTACGGTATCATGTTTGTGTATAAAATACCATATTCGTTATCGACGCGTGGTTTATATCCTAATATTAGGATTTGGGATCCCGTAGAAAAAATGCGTGGTCGGGCAAAGTATTAGTACTCGGTTTTTTAAAAAAATCTCAGTAGTAGCACGGTGGAATTATGCCCGGTATATGGCAATAGGCTCACCCCCTATTACATGGGACTCATAACATAAATAGTGAAAATTGGGTTTTACATTGTACAGTGGCATAATGTAGACCTCTGCCTACACCTTCGGAGATAAAAGGCGTGATGTTATGTTAAGAGAAAACTAAAATAAAATTAATAAACGACGGATCTCCTGATGGTAAGCAATCGGCGGCGTCGCCGATGGGTGCGCAAGCCCGCAACACCAGTGGAGATACAACCCTTTTTGGAACAGAACTATACTATACACTAGTATTATTTCCTAATATAGTCTGTTTGTCTGTCACACGTACGTACATGTGCAGGCTTTAAGAGACTGTGTTTATAAACGTTCTAACAACACTGGATGAATTCTTTAAGTCCTACTTGACTCCGATTTCTATCTATTTAGTATGTAGGTTACTCGGTACATTGTAACTCAAATTACTCTAATTTTTATTACAGAGAAGCAGATGTGGCAGAGGTGGCTCCGGTTCTGATTCATCATCATCCTCTGATTCCTCATCATCATCGTCATCGTCCTCTTCCGAAGAGAATGACAGAGGATGCGTGTGCTGTGGATGTTGTGATGGCGTAAGTAATAACGTCATACATTAAAACTAAACAAACAGAATTATGATCTCATGTAATAGAAATAGTGTTTTTAGTTATTTATTCAAAGTATTACTGAGTTTTTAAAAACCAGTAGTAGCACAGAGTCTGGAATTGTGCCCGGTACATGGCAATAGGCGCATCCCCTATTACATGGGACTCATACCATAAATAGTGAAAAGTAGGTGTTAAATTGTAGTGGCATTAAAGTGCCGTAATGTGCCACGTCTGCCTGCCCCTTCGGGGATTAAAGGCGTTATGTTATATATGAGAAAATATTTTTTCCTAATAATAGTGGCAGGTGTACAGTCGCCAGCAGGTCAATCTATCTTTTTCTGTCAAATCTTTCTATTACATCTTCAGCTTTATTTTATTAACATAAAGTCGAAAATCAAATAAATTTTTGATTGAAATAGGATAATTTGCTGGCCACTGTACTACATTGGTAATATACAGAAGAAAAAGGACTATGATGTATACATCTTGTGACAATAATAGATAAATATTTATCACCAGTATTTATCAATATAGAGTGTCACCTTTCCTAGTCTACAATCAAAAGCAACTCATAGAAAAACCAAGAGAATATTATTCATAAAGGGATTGCCCGGATAAACATTACCTAGTTAATAGTTATCATCCTGCTTGACGTCAATGAGGTGTTTACGAGAATTCCTTATGTATTAGAAACAGCGTATAACCGCATTACATAATTTATTTGTTCGTCTAGCACAGTCTTTGCATTGTTCTTACATCTGCGTAGAGTAATATGTATCAGAGACATTGTAGAGGTAGAACATACTTTTCTAAAAGGAGTTACGAATGGAGTTTCTTGCTCGTTCTTCTCCATTCGCATCTACATTTTGGAATGAGCACCTAGCTTCAACTAGTTTCACTGACGGACTGACTGACAGACTATTATTTAGTTTGTATTTGTTGACGTTTCAAAAGTACCGAACTATGGTTTAATTGAAATAAATGACTTTGACTTTAGCAGTGAATTATTCTATGAACCATTTGTTATTACCGATTCATTAAACTATTAAAAAGAAATACAAATAGGTATTTCAAAGAAAATAATGCAAAAGAGCACATCAGACTCAATTATCCAAACTCGAACATGAAACTACAAGTTATTTATTTACCAGAGCCGTCTAATCCCAAGAGAAATCAGAAATAGTCGTTTGTAAAAGTGAGAAAATGTGATTAGGCAAAACCATTAAAATGAGCAGAATAAAAATTATAGTCTGCTCCTGAAACATAGACTTTGCAGTCTGTCAGTCCAATTTAGTCACAAAACATGAATGAACTACAGTAATGTTAATATTTATGCATATTACATTTTAGTTACATTTACATTATACATTTAAAACCGTTCAAGTAAGTGCTTGTCTGACAAACAAACATTTGTCAGACAATCACGACAAAGACAGTAAACCTTGTTGACTTTGTTCTCATATTGGTTTCATTTTATAAGAGACTAGCTGACCCGGTAAACTTCGAACCGCTTATTTGTTTTTTCTCACCTTTTAAATCTTCCCTAGACTTCAAAAAACAGTTCAGCCATAGATATATAATTTTTTAATATTTCTATGGGTTCAGCCGTTCTCGAGTTTTAGCGAGACTAACGAACGGGAATTAATTTTTATTTATATAGATAGATATAGTATCACATTGTTTAACAAAGGTAATCAAAAATGTCAGCTGATTTATTTTTTTACGGATTACACACGTAACTGGACAGGGTAACTTGACTAGTTTCAAGTAACGCCAGGGGCTCAAGTAATTATAAACAGCATTATGATAACGCGGTCACTAGTCACATTACGTCATCAAATAGTTACGTGAGTAAGCCGTAAAACATAATTCATTGAATATGTCTCACACGAGTTATAAAACTTTTATCTATTCAAGGAAAATATTCGTAGGTAGTTTTTTCATTCACATATATTGCTAATGTTAGCATGACGAAGATTGCTAGATAATATCTGAATCATACTTTGTCCATTATATCGGCACACAATGGACACTTCAATGAGATGCTCGTGAATAGCAGGATTGGGGCCCTTGTAGATGACGATAGCCATATTTAGGTACTTGAAAAGCAGATTTAATTTAATATGAACATAATCGACTGTAATGTGGTAATGTGAAATAGATTTAGTTACAGAATATGAAATTGCCAGTTGTACTGTATTTTTCTTAGGTTTGACCGTTATTTACGTTTATTCGTTTGTTAGTTTTACGAATTCATCTCAAACATTTGCAACAAATTACAAACCAATAATTGAAAAAAAATTAAGTGATGCAAAATCGGTTTGGACTCCCCAGTCCAAACCGATTTTGCATCACTTAATTTTTTTGCAATAACATGAATTGCAATAAAGTTGATATGGATCCCCCGATCCATATCAACATTATTGCAATTCATGTTTACATTTTTTGTTTTCCAGGGAAGAAGGAGACATAAGGGTTCCTCATCTTCTTCGTCTTCTTCATCATCATCGTCTTCGTCCTCTTCATCATCATCTTCTGAGGAAGAAGAACCACAGTGGACTTACAACTGTATTTATGAGGTTAGTACAAACATCAGATCAAAGTCTTTTCCTGTTTTCTCCCGTTCCGATTTCATTTTCAAGATGCTTTCCTCTGTCATAAGAACCTTCTCCTGACACTAACAAATACAAAAAAAGTGAAATCGGTCCAGCCGTTTACGCATGATGCTGTGAGCAAGGGATTCAATTTTTTTTCATTCATTCAACTACTTGCCATCCATACCCCTTCCTGTATACTAAATTTCATCATAATCCGTTCAGTAATTTCAGCGTGATTGATGGACAAACATCCAAATAAACATTCAAACAAAAAAGGTTTTACATTTATAATATTAGTGTGATTACAAATTGCCTAATTATTTTATAATGGACAAATTTTTAATTGGTTCATTTTTTTATCGAAAGCATGCGGTCTGCCAAAATGTGATATGCCAGTTTTTGTACACTATCCATGTATTTTTTTTCTTTCTTTATTCTAATTATGTATGTTTACTAAACTGCGGCGTAAATGACCTTAAATAGAATATAATATGTATGTAAGTATTGGGAGAGATGGCTTTGATTGGCTTTGCGATGAATTGTAAATCTTAAGACTTTGAAAGCACGCTTGAAAGTCGTTTGACTGTTCCTAGATGATATGCATGTAAGCTGTTCCGATAGGGGGTTTATTGCTACACTTTCGATAAGTGTAGATCATAATATTGGACAAATTCTTCGTTCCAGGTTCAACCAACTGATACGGTTTTACGTCGAGTGACATCTTGCGGTCGTCAACAACCCCCTAGAGGTGATATGACTTTGTAGATTTTTGAGGCTTTTATATATGGTCTTATGAACAATAGTAAAAAGAGGATGTATTCAAAAAGTATGATAGTATCGGAGAAAATGAAAATAATAAAGAGGATATGACAGATGAATGGTTTATGTAATTAGTGATATGACACAAAAAGAGTGCATGATGACCTAAGATAAGGAAAAATGAAAGAAATAATATTCAACTCTAGATTAATGTTGAATAAAAATAAATATCTATACCTACATACTTATAATAAAATCGTAGAAAGGTCAAAACTGTACATTCCATATTTTTTTTTGAAGAATACTTTGAGCATAATCCACAATCGATATCGAAACCAACGCATAACATTATTAGTTTTTTGAATTTTTGTCTGTTTGTCTGTCCGTGCTAAACTGAAAAAGTACTGCATAGATTTACTTCAATTTACATTTTACATTTAGGCTACATATTATCACGCTATCACCTACGAGAGAGGAGCTGTGAAGAACTGTCCAAAGTCACTATTCCACGCGGATGAAGTCACGGGCATCTACTAGTCTGATAATAAGGAAATACTTTCCTCATTTTATCTGTCATGTATCTGAGTTTACAGTACGTAATATAGAAAGGAGAAATGTAAGTTTCCTATGTATAATCAAATCATATTAAATGGTTTTATTTGTTCTTTATTACAGCCAAAAAAGTCGAAACATTTCAAGACCCGATGTGGTGGACCAAGAAGCTAAAGTTCGTGCAACAGATAGCAACAGTCGGTCAGACAGTTGTCAGTAGTATCAAGCAGTAGAAGTTCCAGTGTGTAATCAAATTGTTATGTTAATGTTAAACTGTGATTAAATGTTATAGCGAAAATGTGCAATAAAAATGTTTTCCTACTTTGTCTATTATTTATTAGCCTAAGCCCGCGACTCCATAGTCACGCGTCCATATGCACAAGCCCATTTTTTCCCATTCGCGTTGGATTTTCGAGAAATCCCTTGATAAAAGTATTATATGTTGTTCTCCTAGTTCTGAGTTAGCACATCATCAGTTTGCAGTCAAATCGATGTAGCCATTTTTGAGTTCTAAATAACAGTATTTAGAACTCAAAAATGCGGGAAAAGGATCCGCGACACGTCGTACAGCAACCGGTCATTTAGCAACAGTGCCAATCAAGTGCAGCGAAATATTTGCAATGGTGATAGTTATTTTGTGCAAAGGATCAGGTTTCTTTATGATTGTTTGAATGGTCACGACACTATTGAGAATAAATGTCACAAGATTAACTTTCTGGAATTCTCATATTTTTTTCTTATTACCTACATTTAAATACAGTTTTACACCATTTTTCTGCACCATTAAACCAAAACTGGTTTGAATTGGTACTCACATTCACCTAATACGTAATTTCTAAACGAATTAATTATATACTTACAAATGACAATATAAAAATGACATTAATAGCATGAAGCTTGAAAACTTTACCCTATATTTGATAATAGGTCTACCAAATTATAACGAGACTATACACTACCTAAAAGGAGTTTCCTCATAAGTACACCAAAGCTTTAGTACAGTACATTTTCCGGCAAAACTTATGCCAAAGAGTCATTTTAATACAAAAATATTACTAGATATTAATGTATAATACAAAACAAAGCTGGTAGTAACAAAGGCTGGTTTGTACCAGCTACAATATCGAACAGAATAAAAGGACCTGTCCTGTCCTTTGACGGCGGCATTGCTGACGCTTTAGAGTGAAAAATGCCACGCATTGGCCTCACGTGGAGGCATTTCATGATTAAAATACCTACCGCCGGCTATGATATTTTAATTAAACACCACATGTTTATATTTACACAACAGATTACAGTATCATTAATATATTGGATATTAATTATATGAAATGTTTTTTTAAATCAAACAAAACGTTTTACGTAAATTATAAATGTTTTTTTTTAACTGTAACATTTATTTCGTCCCGTTTTCAAGTGTTTATCATTGTTAATGGATATGATTTGATGTTGGTTAGTCTTTTCTTTTATAGTCAGATATCAAACGTGGAAGATATTTAACAATTCCGATGGATAATTATTACAACGGCTTTTTCGCGTGTCGTAAAATGAGTCAAATCTGTCCAACCGTTCTCGATTTTCGATCACTATTTTATTGTTTTTTTGATGACTAAACTAATGGTACCTTCATTTCTCCAGGTAATATTCTAATGTACTAGGGACTGAACCTAATACTTCAAAACAGTCATTTTCTGAATAATACTGTTTACCACTTACCAGTACATATTATTAAAACGTCATTGATTCTAAGGTACTTTCCTAAACACTACTTTGTTAAAATGAGTGTCCCGTATCCCCAACAGTTCCTACAAATTCCTAATCTCCAAAAGGCCGGTAACGCACTTGTAACGCTTCTGGTGTACCGAGTATTCATGGTCGACGCCGATTGCTTACCATCAGGTGACCCGTCTGCTCGATTACTGGCTTGTCCCATAAAAAAATGTAAATATAAAAACACTAGCTTTTTCACACAGTTTTGGTCTCAGTAAAAGCTCAAGGAAGAACATACTCCTAACATATGTCCTTCTACGCACTCCCAAATTTAAGTATGCTAGATTTCAAGAAGATTTATTATATATTAAATGTTGGTGAGCCAGGCATGACTGGGCTGGCTAGACCGGAATGATACCACGGCCTCCTAGAAAACTGACGTGAAACAACGCTTGCGTTATATATAAGAAAGTCGTGTTATTTACAGAAATAACACGACTTTCTTATATATAACGCAAGCGTTGTTTCACATACAGAAAAAACCCTGATTTGCGGTAAAATAAAAAAAGTGTTCATCTTTATACACTTTGTATGTCATTAATATAGACTAACAAATTATATTAATGACATACGAAGTGGAATATGTACAACTTATATTAACATCTTTTGCGATTTTATGTCAGATACTGGGTATTAATGTAACCGGTCCTTAGAAACAGGTCCTACGACAAACAAAGTAAAAACAAATCGAAATTAAATACCAATCAATAAGCAAGACAACCCTAACAATAATTATTTTACAACCAGTTCTGTGAAGAAAAGAATGAATTAAAGCATTAATGAACTCAGAATCCAGTCTCATAATACAACAAAGTAACTTGTATCGAAGCAAAGCAAAGGCTTCAAATTTAATTCAAATGGTCAGTTTCCCAACAAAAAAAATAGGTCTATCTTGTTCCGAAACGAAACGAATGAAATCGCTGAAGCGGATTTGTATTGCGGGAGCGGCTAACGAGGATTTCAGCATGATGAACTATGAGAGCCCTTTATCCAACCAGCGTAATCATCAATTAGGTTGTTATTACTTACTGGATTAGTGAGTTGCTGTTTGTTTTAGTTTCAACTTTTAACAACTTGTTGTGAAGCTGCTTTTGTTGTTATATTTAGTTTTGTTTCTATCTAAGTATAGTAGAGGTATTATGTGAGTGCTGAGTTCATTTGTTTGAATGCGGTAGTAGTAAGTGTTTACAAATGCGACTATTGACTTCCTTGGATGGGTATTTTTAGTCCGAAACGAAAGAACAAAAATAGACGTGTTATAACAATGGGGTAGTAATTAATATTGTTAGTAAGAAGACTGCCCCGTTGGCCGAGTGGTCGCAAGTGCGACTGCCGGGCAAGGGGTCTCGGGTTCGATTCCCGGGTCGGGAAAGTATTATTGGGTTTTAAAAAATTCTCAGTAGTAGCACGGAGTCTGGAATTGTGCCCGGTATATGGCAATAGGCTCACCCCCTATTACATGGGACTCATAACATTAATAGTACAAAGTGGGTGTTACATTGTACAGTGGCATAATATGTACCTCTGCTACCTTCGAGGATACAAGGCGTGATGTTATATATATCTACATATATGTTAGTAAGAGTGTGTGTACAATGCAAATTATTACTAGTCAACTTCTTTACAGCAGATGTCATTTCACGATGTTGTACATGTGATGTTATGTAACATATCGAGTAATTGTGTCTAAATGTATGGCATCATTCTAGAAAGTTTTTAAACACGTGTTAAACATTTTGATTGACCTTTCAATCTACTGTGATCCACTCCATCGGTAAAATACTGTAGGCATGCATTTTTGTTAGTCAATTGGCAATAGACACAATGATAGAAGTCAATTGATGTAATGGGATCAAATGGTCAATTTATAGTAGAGGGTACCTCGTGCACGAAGTGTATTGATTAAAAACTCAGTGGCACTTCATATTCTTTATCTGAGGCTAGTTCTAGACAGACGTTACCAGAAAAGAGTGATGGATAATTTAGCTCTGATAGTAGTGCTTTTATACTGCTTCGGTTTTTCAAGTCAGGGTCTAGTTTTACAAAAACCTGCAGAGGACTCGGACCCACAAGCGAATTTCTATGAAGTTGACATAACAAATGAATCTGACAACGTGTAGGTTTAGATTATTTGAAGAACACAGAAGGGAACACTGAACTTGCTCTCATTGTGCTAGTGCCAAAGGACAATCAAGATTACAAAGTTGTACTCGAGAAGAACGAGCACTACGACAAATATGTCATCGTAAAAACAAAGCCAAATTACTCGACCTCGAACCATACTCTCAACATCATGTTGATAAACATAATGCTAATAAACAAATGGTAATGTGGCTAAATTTATATTGTGATATGCATCCGGATTGTGACAAGAATAAGTTAAATGAGGAACTGAGGAAGGTACGGCCATATTTGGAGTTTTAAAGTGCAGGAAGACCTTAATAAATAATAATGATGATCTAAATATTAGCGACGAGGAAAAGTGCACGAGGTAAATAGGTCTATATTTGTCATGACAATATTAAGAGTCGCTAAAACTTCTTAAATTTGTGTGAAAGAAATTACAGTTAGAAGCTGTCCAGTGAATCTAATCAGTGGTTCAAGACTAGGAATGACCTACATTTTGATAATTTGAACAAGATCAGTTCACAACACTTGTCGTTGTGGTAGACCGTGTCTTGTAGTGCTAAACTCACAAAAAAACTATTCGTTTTGACAATAAATTTAAAGACACAGTGTTTAGTGAATTAGAGTGATTAAATAAACATAAGATAGAAATAAATTAAGTGGTACATTAATAGTAATATATTATTGATTAAATATTTAGGCGATGTGTCTAAAAATATGTCAAATATTATAAACAAATAATTAATTGGTGATAAATGAACATCAGGCTTGTGGATGTTATCGTATTTGTGTAGCCACCGGGTAAATGTTGGCTGATAAACGCACAGCGAGGACCGATATGTTTTAGTATTGTAAAATGACTTCTCTGTCGACACGTTTAATTGTGTTTAGTATATTAATCAGCTTCCTAGTTTGTGCTGCCAGCACATCATTCACTGGACAGTTCCTTCTCGATATATTTGGAAATCCCATAAAAGATTTTCAAAACACTTTTACAAAAGAAAAGGTGTTTCCTAAAACAAGTAGTTTACGAGAAGATCCATTTCGTCAGAAAAAGGATGACAATTCACAGCCTAAAATGATAGAAGTGCCTCCTAACGCGCAAAGATGTGATGCTGGCTCTACATGGACGTTAATGGCGTGTGCAGACAACCATGGTGACTAGTCGCAATAACTATATATAGTAGCAACGTAGTTTGCTCAATACAATACGTTAACATGGACGCGAAATATGTGTTGTTTCTCATAGTGATGGTGTTGGGCTTGTGTATCCGTACCGAAGCACGAGTTGTGTTTAATATTCAAGAAAAACTAGAAATGGCGACCACGACGGAGGCTGAGAATTTGACAAAACATTCTCAGATTATTCGAGTACCAGAATTAGAATGCCCCCTTGGGCAGAGGCGTGACAGACTGGGCAACTGCAGGCAGAGATTTTGAGGTATTGTTATTTTCTTAATATGACGAATTTAGCATAAATATAATTAGGTTCTTAGTCATTAAATTACACAGTTTCATTAGATATGAATACTCTGACCTGTGACATTAATTATCTTATTATAACAGTTATTTAAAAAGTAACTGTTACTCAAAAAATTATTTTTTTAATTACACTAGATAGTACAAATATTTGAAAATTAGGTTTGTAATTTACATGTATTTGTTACATGTTTAACTATATTTTTATTTTAACTTTTATTTTCAGGTGGCGATTTGAAAATGTACGGAAATATAAAGTTTAGTATTATAACAAGGAAGATATTTTGACGCATTAGCTCACTGGTATTATTATAATCAATTCTTGGAATATGTTGTAAGATAATTTTTATTAGGTCAAGTAAGTTATCTTATAAGCCGAAGTCATTCTCGATACTTCAGTCCACAGAAAATAATCATAAGACGTGACACGAACAGAGACATTTCGCAAAATGAAATTTACAATTGCCATTTTATTTTGTGTTGTTTTAAGTTTTCAATACAGTGCTAATGGAAGGCCTCAGAATTTCATTGCAAACTTTCATCAAAAATTGCACGAATCAATTAACAACATTAAACAGGATGTGAGGTCGTCTCTATTTCATCCTAATGAAAACAAGAAGGTGCAACAGAATAACGATGCGGCCTCAAGCATTTTCTTTGTTGAGGAAGAATCTGAGGAAGACTTTGCTGCAGCAGCAGCAGCCAGGAGGCCAGTGGAAGTGACTACACCATCTACTACTACATCTACAACAACAACTACTACGGTTAAACCTGTAGAAACCACTACTAATGGAACTGACAAAGGACGAGAAAATTTCACAGCTGGATGTACACCTGGCTACCAGCGCACACCCGACGGAAGATGCAAAGCCACCTTTGGATAAAACTGTATCTACAATAATTTGTTTTTCCTGTTAATCTATATTTATTTTAGTGCTACCATTTTGCAGCATTTAATATTTAACAGTGATTTTAAATGTAAATATGTATCTAGAAGTGCATAATTATTCAATATTTTCTAGTAGATTTGTTTATAATTATGTGATACGAAAATGTGTTACGATTTTGTCATTTATTATTCAAAAGTGAAATTATGTAAAGAATAACATTAAAGTGTTTAGTATACTTTTTAAATTTGTTTAAATTTATTGTTTTATTTTACTCCGAGTATGTTAGGGGATGGTACAATGTATGACGAAGTGAATTAAGATAATCTGAAGTAACCTTAAAGTGATTATCAGTGTTTCTAACAAGTTTACGTAATGATTAGATATCATTGTTAGTGTCAGGGAGGATAAAGAAAGGTACACAAGCAAATATTCTATATTATCATTTTAAAATAAATTGTACAATTTACAAAAATAAATAAATAACATAAAAAAAATATTAGTACCACCATACCTGTAGTACCACTATTAAAACGATCACCTATAAATTCTTGCAAAACAGCTACAATTTGTTCTTTATTTGCATTGTCTTGTGGTTTATTTGTGACTTGATTTTGATTTTGATAACCTTCTGTCACACCATTGTTTCCAGGTACAGGGCCTTGATCATAATATTCGTTTTCTGTGGGTCCCTTGTTTGGTGGTCCTCTATTAGGAGGAGGTCCTCGGTTTGGAGGAGGTCCTCGGTTCGGAGGAGGTAATCGATTGGGAGGTGGGCCCCTGTTAGCTGGTGGTCCCCGGTTCGCAGGTGGGCCCATAGGTGACCGCTTCTTTGTAAATAACACAAAAAAATTAATGCCAATCACAAGTACCATTCTTCAAACGTCACGTTACATACAATATTAATCATAGAGTAGCAGAATCGTCGCGGAGAACCTAACGGGTAACCGGGGCTCCGGCTCGACGTGCAGGAGAAGGAACGGGGTGGTTTTTAGTCAGTAAGAGTCTGACACTCCCTTCCGCCTCACCCAGGCGGGAGCAGTCATTCGATGATTTTCCCCCTAAAAAAAAAAAAAAGAGTAGCAGAATCAGAATCAGAATCAGAATCATTTATTTGTTAAACATAGGTAGTTTACATAATAAGGTCTTACATATAAAGATAGTCCACTATGTTTTGCCGTGATAGACATACAAATATATTAGGTACATGCATTTGCAACATTATTACAATTTCAGTTAAATTTTGTACAATAATAATAAAATAATAAAAATAAGGTATGTCAAAATTATGTCAATTAAAATTATCAAATTTATCAAGAAATACATTAAAATTGTCAAAAAAAAAATTGAAATTGGCAAGAAATAAATTAAATTTGTCAAAAAATATTATCATTAAGGAATTCTTCAATTGATTCAAAAAACTCAGCGAGTTTTGACATGGATGGGTTGCTTTGATAAAAACAGTACCATCTTTGCAAAAAACATATTTGCTTTTGTTGTAGTTTTTTTGTTAATTAGTTGTTATATGTTTACGTAATGAAATAGATATAATTGTTAGTGTCAGGGAGGATAAAGAAAGGTACACAAGCAAATATTCTATATTATCATTTTAAAATAAATTGTACAATTTACAAAAATAAATAAATAAAATAAAAAAAATATTCTCTAAAATCTGGCTCAAAGCAATTTCAATAACATTGTAAAAATATTAAATACAAAAGTAATGACAATATTAAAATGGCAGTCGATCTGTAGAACGATACTAAATGTTTATCTATTTCCTTCAGTCTCTTTCTCTCATAAGATTTTCAAAAAAGTGGCCTTCATTTGAGACCACTCGGGAAATAGTAAACTGGTTAAAATCAATTATTCTTCTGGAGTAACAGCTATTGCTTGAAATATTGGAGGAAAGTGTGGACCAGAACTGATTAGTGGGTTTCCTGTAGTACCACCATTAAAACGGTCGCCTATATATTCTTGCAAAACAGCTACAATTTGTTCTTTATTTGCATTGTCTTGTGGTTTATTTGTGACTTGATTTTGATTTTGATAACCTTCTGTCACACCATTGTTTCCAGGTCCATTGTTCACAGGGCCTTGATCATAATATTCGTTTTCTGTGGGTCCCTTGTTTGGTGGTCCTCTATTGGGAGGAGGTCCTCGGTTTGGAGGAGGTCCTCGGTTCGGAGGAGGTCCTCGATTGGGAGGTGGGCCCCTGTTAGCTGGTGGTCCTCGGTTCGCAGGTGGGCCCATAGGTGACCGCTTCTCTGTAAATAACACAAAAAATATTAATGCCAATCACAAGTACTATTCGTCAAACGTCATGTTACATACAATATTAATCATAGAGTAGCAAAAAACTCAGCGAGTGTTGACATGGATGGTTTGCTTTGATAAAAACAGTACCATCTTTGCAAAAACCATTTTGCTTTTGTTGTAGTTTTTTTGTTAATTAGTTGGTATATGTTTATTAACATGTTTTATTAATAACCTCAACATTAAGGCGTTTCATACCAAATAACATGAATAAATTCAATAGGATGAATTAAACAGCAATAACATTCAATCAGTATATTCTTCATAAACTCTAACAATTATAGGAAACAGAGTTAACAATCATTAGTTAACGAGTTACAATTGTATATATTAGTGTAAATAATACTTTGAATAATACAAAATCGTGTAAAAATAGAATCAATCGGCTGGTGTAACAGCTGCGGCTTGAAATAGACGAGAAAGAATTGGTAGTGTAGTAACTGCTCCCCTTTTAGGGTTCCTGACATTCTTTGTCGTTTCATCCGTTGGCATTTTCTCATCATCAGCAAACCTTACATCGAGTTGGTACTGATCATCGTCATCTGGAGCAACAGTGGTAGTTGTGGTAGTGGTGGTGGATGTAGTAGAATCATTTTGGTAGTTTTCATTTTCTTTTTCATTACGTTGTCCATCGTCATTAGGAGGAGGAGGCCGTCGACGGTTTGACCAAGGATCGTTATATGGTGGTGGTCCGCCATGGTGTGGGGGTGGTCTCCTATCAAATCTGTCAGGGGGTCCACCGTGGTGTGGAGGCCTGTAATCGAACCTGTCCGGTGGGCCACCATGATGTGGTGGTCTACCATCAAAACGGTCAGGTGGCCCGCTATGGTGTGGTGGTCTGCCATCAAAGCGATCTGGCGGTCCACCGTGATGTGGGGGCGGTCTACCATAAAATCTGTCAGGAGGTCCACCGCGATATGGTGGTGGCCCATGATGATACGGTCTGTCATTTGGCGATTGCCTTGTTTGTCTGTCATCATAACTTCTATCACCATGCGGAGGAGGAGCAGGTCTATTATAATAATCATCATAATAGGTATTATATTGGTCATAGTAATTTGATCTGTAATCGTCAGGAGGTGGCGGGGGTGGAGGGTGGTGATGATGTGGGGGAGGAGGATAACCATAAGGAGGAGGTGGATGATGATGGTGATGCGGAGGTGGTGGCGGTGGTGGATGGTGATAGTCTGGTGGTGGTGGTGGCGGCGGTTCCCTGTCTTGGACCAAATTCTGCCCATTGTCATATCGGAAATACTGGTTGTCAGAAGCTTGTGGCGTTTTCTCATCTCCATCCTTCAGTTTGTATACTGCGAAATTGGAATTTTGTGACACCAGTTCTAATTTTGAGTCAGGTGCTGATGGGAGCTTATACATATTTTGGAGATTAGTCACATCGTTAACTGGCTGTAGATGAGTTGTCTCCTTATTTTGTAAATTTACTTTAGATGGATCTATGGCTGCAGCATCGATGTACACTATGTCAACCGTATCCAAAGCTTGTCGTCTTGGTCTTGGAGCGTGGATATTTTCAAACTTGTCAGTCACATCTTGCGTCGCTGACTGCTTTTCTGAAAGATAAGCGTGTCAAAGACTATCACTTGCTTGCATTACTATCCATTTTTTGTGTGTGTTATCAAGTTAATAACAAAAGTTATATAGGTGCTGTTACTAGGGAACGGCTATTGGTTGATCCGATTAACCAATTGTTCATATTTTGTGAAGTACATGGTAAAGTTAAAGGGTGGAAAAGTTGTTTGTTTGAAAGTGACAACATTTAGTTTGATTTGAAAAAAATATTTGTTGCATTTGTTAATCCTGGGTTTTTTAAATAGAATACTTTGTCATTGCAATGATTTGAGAACCAATTATCTAGGAAAGTTTTTTTTTATGTCATATCAATTATGGAACTTTGAAAACATAAACATAACCATAACATCACGCCTTTTTCCTCGAAGGGGTAAGTAGTACACATTACGACACTTAATGCTATTGTACAATGTAACACCCACTTTTCATTATTTATGTTATGAGTCCCATATAATAGAGGGTGAGGCTATTGCCATATACCGGGTACATTTCCAGACTACGTGCTACTACTGAGAATTTCTTAAAATGACTCAGTAATACTTTGCCCGACCCGGGAATCGAATCCGAGACCCCCTTGCCCTGCTCGGCCTACGAGGCAGTCTACTGAGCATTGACCTAACTATAATTGTGGAAAGCGATAATAATGTAGTTATACCTCTATACACTACTATACTAACGCTAAATAAATACTCAAACTCTGCTTAATTTTAACTCCCGCTCTTAAGTACCTATAGTTCTGTCACTACAAATTCTTTAAATGACAGACAGAGATGACACGATATTTAAGTACAACTTAAAATTAAATATCCTTTCAGTATTCGGGCGTAAATGACACGAGTAGGTATCATATCAAATGTAATTCATCCAAAGTTACTTTTTAAACTAACTTCATAGTTTAAATTCAATTCTAATTACATAAAAGTATCCTAGTTGTTGTTATGTACGCCAGTAATTCAAGAGCCCGCGCATTTATAATAATCCATACATTTACAAACCTAACCATTGATCCGAAGTCAAGATATGATGCTCAATACTGGTACTTTTAACTACTTAACTGACAAAGCAAGTCATTCAATGTTATTACAATTTATTATAACTCGTTTTGCTATCGGGAAAGACCCGAGTCCTAAATTCTCGAACGGAGTCTTTAAATTGTATAACCTTGTTTACAAATCTGCGGTATTATCAACTCGCGAATAACAAAGTGTCAGTGACCTTTACACGATTCGTCGAAACATAATCTTGGTACATTAGTGCTTAAAAGCAAATATACTTTATTGGCACCTCTGTTAATACAATTGAAGATATCAAGTACTCGTTTCTAACACAAATATTGATCTAATCAATGTACTGTGAAGGCAATCAAACTAATGAGTTTTGCCTTTGTAAAATTGACTTGTATCTGTGATCTTTTGCACTGAACACTACAATATTATTACACTCAAGTACTATTAATGGTTGTAGGACGTTGTTTTATTACACTTAACCACGAGATAAGTCGTAATTCAAAACCAATTTGCGCGTCATTTTACCACACATCCTAATCATACTACAAAACATTAGAATTACGTGTGAACAATTAATCACGTAAATTATTCACGTTTAAAAATAGCAGTATGATTATTATACTAACCTCTAATTTCTGTTCCGGGCGCACATGTCGCCAAAGTTACCAGAGATGCAGCACAAATAAATACTAAGCACTTCATTTTGAATGTCTTCAATATTAATTCTTCCACACAGTATCAACGTCCATCTTCGATCAACAATTTCGTAGAAAATGAATATGTGCCGGTAAACCTTGAAACCGGTTCGTTAAGCAGCTGTTACGATCAATACAGGATCTGCCCGTCAGACGTCATCAAGGTGGCAAAAACTTGTAAGGCAGAATATCGTTTTAATAAAGATGTTGTTCTAGGGCTGTCAGTATAGTTGTACCTGTTTAACCGACAGCGCGAGGCGACGGTAATGTGTTTGTAATGTTTATATTTGTAGTTTATAATGGAACAACTCTTTGTGTCATCGACACTACCGACTATAGGTAACAATATACTAATCCACTATAGGTAATAATAATGTCATCGACACAGAGTTGTTCTGGGTTTGGGTGTCATGAACTTATATGTTTATAAACGCACCCACGACGCTGTAGAAAATCCGAAAGTGGGGCATCATTCTTTTTAAAAAAATACACATAAAATAACACATTTAATTTAAAAAAATAGGCAGAGTATAATGCGATTTTTTTGCCAATTATGTTATGACTCCCATTTTACAACGGGCGAGACTTTTGTTATACGTAATTACTATTACTACATAACATAACAGCTAGTATTTTTATTCACCAAAAGGGTAGAAAGGGGGTTTAATGTGACAGATATATTATCCATCTCATCATAATATTGTAAAAGCGAAAGTTTGTATGTTTGTTTGTTTGTTTGTTAGTCCCTCACGTCAAAACAGCTGAGGGAATCATGATGAAATTTGGAACATGAGTAGATTGTGGTATGGAATAACACATAAGCTAATTATTAGTTGATTTTCAAAAGTGCCTTTCTGGTCTAATTGAAATAAATGATCTTGACTTTGACTTTTGATTATCCCTTGGTAAGCCGCTGGAAGAAGCTAGTTATGTTATAACTTTCATTTTATAGAGGTTGAATGGATTATCATATTGTCACAAAATCAAACTCCTTACTTCACAGGCAATTTGGAAAATCGAGAATCCTCAACAGTTTAATGTTTTTAGGTTGAGTTTTTTATGTTCAATCTGGTGCCGATATCTTGTGAGCCTTATGTCTAGAGGTGAGCTGTAGGATAATGCTTTCTTTTTATTGAAATGTTGAAATAAAACTCGTAACGTATCTAATGTAGTTATTCTACAAATGTATTCAATTATGACCAGACTCAATGACTTTGTGATGACATGTAAGGGCAAGTAATATAAGGGTAAGGACTCACGGCTCGATTTTCTCCCGCGGCCGCTGTGGTTGCAGGCCCGCAGCCTTTGTAGAATACAGATATGTATGTAAAAAATAACAACCAATTTTCATGGCACGCCCGCGGTTGTTGTGATTGTTTGCGGCTCCCGCTGCACCAGCGGGTGCCGCCGCGGTTGGCGGGCGATCGCAATGGGACGGCTGGTCTGGAACTCAACTGATTGTTTAACCACCCGCCCGTCTTGTGATAATTAACCGCCAAGTTTGCGGGCGATAATCGCAACCGCGGCGGGTGTAGGATTGCAGAAAAGTGCGGTCTCGTGACTTTTGATAATTGCGCTTCCATTACGCCACCGTGGTGGTCGCGAGAGAAGGTCGTGCCGTGAGCCCTTAGCCTAATAGGTTTTTGTTAGATATTGATGCAAAAAGGGTTTGATGATGTTCTGGTTAGGTATTTACCTTTGAAATCTCAGCATTATTTTTCTTTATTTCTTAGAGCGTGACTTTCAAGTTTCGTTTTTGAAATCTGGACCAAACGATATATGTAAAATAATATTAAAAACTTTTTGCGTTGTAAATCTAATTTAATTTTAAATATGATTCTGAAATATTTATTTATGATTCCTCTCAACCCTGATTCATACTTGCTAGGAGAGGTCAATACTTTTAAAATCGCAAATTGTCTTTGTCTATAATTGTACACTTGGGTATTCCACAGTAAACACATTTTTTATGTTTTGCAAAGAAAAATGTCCCGTAATGCATAGCATTATGACTGTCCATTATCAAAAAGGTAAGTAGAGATGTACTCCTACTATAGTCCACGCTTTGAGTTCAAAGCTACTTCGGCCAAGTCATACCTGTCCTTGGGTAATGATCTAATGTCAATTGGAGTTTAGAATTTCGTAAATTGAATACATACGCAGCAGGGATGTTATGGATATGAAATTTCGGATACGGATTGGATACGGATATAGAAATGATTATTATACTGGATACGGATACGGTTACGGATATGAAATTATTTCGGATTATCCGTTAGTTTCGGATAATTTCGGTTACGGATATTAAAATTTTAAGGAATTTCAAAAGTAAAATACAAATAGCTAATATAATTGTTTCGTTTATACGTCACGCCGCTATCCGATAGTATCCGAAACTTTTATTTCGGATTCGGTTACGGTTACGGATATTTTTTTATATCGGATATCCGATAGTTTCGGTTACGGTTACGGAGCTCCGTAACATCCCTGATAAATCCCATACGTAGTTGTGATTAACTGTCGTCTTGAGACTGTCATTAAACATAGCAAAATTGAATTCATGTCACTCTTATGTAAAACCATCATTTTGTTTAAAAACTTCATACTTCATACTACCAAACCCCCATACTTTTAACATAAAATGTCACAATCTCAAACAATTTTAGTAGCATCTTCCATAAATAGCACTACCCACACCGTCAGTTACCACTTAGCTCAACAAAATCAAAATCAATGTTGGTCGTATAAAGTGAAATGTAAAAGCCACTTACCTAATACTGAAAGCGGCGACAATCTCATTCCGGGCGACAAATTGAGAACACCTCCTGCCTAGAGCCACAGGCCACAGTCGCTGGTAAATAGCTATTTATTGTGGCAGAGAGCGAGACACCTGTCCTGCGTACGGCGACATGCCACTAAATGGAACACCCTGTACTGGTCGGTTGTTAGAATTGTTTTATTATTTGTTTTTGTAATTGGTTGAATTTAATTTTGTCACCGTTGTTCTATCAAGAAAATTTGTTGTAAAATCCTTTGTTAGTTATGTTGTTAATTCCAATAAAATAAGGGTTTTTTAAGGAGGGAAAATCATCGAATGACTGCTACCGCCTAGATGAGGCGGGAGAGAGTGTCAGACTCTTATTGACTAAAAACCACCCCGTTCCTACTTCTGTCCTTCGAGCCGGAGCCCCGGCAACCCGTTAAGTCCTCCGCGGCAAGAAAATAAAGGTTAGATTGAAACATTAAGAATAGTTAATGTGATAAACACAATAAAGTTTTTCGAAAAGTGCTTTTATTTAGTGTGTGATATTTCTCTTCATTTTTATTAGCCAACATACTTAAAAAATATTATGTTATATCACACACAATTCTGTACAAGATCTGATTAAATAATCATCTTTATTTATCTTCTGTTGTATATTAAATTTAATTTTATATCGAGCTTAAAATTTAAATCGAGTATATGCGGGACGGCATCCATCGTTCCCCTGTTTCCTCTAACACGGGCGACCAAAACCCCGTTCTAAACCTCACTGTCGCCTACCCTTGACACTGTAATAGCCCCTCCGTGTTTGTACCGCGAACTACAGACATTAAAATTGTGTCTCCTTTTTAGATAAATCTATTAATGAAATAAAATATTTGTTACTAGCTGCTAGTTGACCCGGCAAACTTTGTACCGCCTATTTTTTTTCTCAGTTTAAACCTTCCCTGTACTCCTACGAACATTTCATGACCAAAATTGACCTAGTCGGTTCAGCCGTTTTCGAGTTTTAGCGAGACAAACGAACGGAAATTCATTTTTATATATATAGGTTTTTATATAGTAAGTTCTTCATATTTTACGATTGTAGTGTTTTGATAGTATGGTATTATTTCAGGAATTTACGATGTTATTTTATTTTATCGGAATTATTGTTTAAAGACTTCACAGTAATCTCAGACAAACAGACTCCGTACTGCTACTGAGAATTTTGTTATCAGAAAAACCTTGAATTGCCTTACTCAAACTAGGAATGAATTTGTTAAATAATATTAGTGTTACAAACTTCTGTTATGATTCATAGATTGTCGCGAACCGATTTGTTACTAACCACATTGATATACTATATGTACAATGTTTTATTTATAGATTTCTTGTGTAGCGATCAAATCGCATACACAAAAAAAAAACAAATCATGGTTTACCCCAATCCGAGAAGTGGTCGTGATGATATACGCAACTGGACTATGAATACGGGCCATCGTATGATGTTTGCACTTGGCCCGTTCATTAGGTGCGTTACGCCCCCGGCACGTGTAAGCAGGCCCCGCCTCCAGAGGCAGGTACAGTGCAGCATGCATCGCACGCGCATCCTCCGATCCTCCGTCCTGCCCTATGACAGCGGTGCAGTGGGCGTTCCTACTAGACGCGTCTTCAAGCGGGGATTGTCCCTATATAACTAATAGAAATTATAATTGTTTTACCATATCGCACTCCAGTTTGTACTAGGTCTATAGTAATAAATATTATCCATCACAAACCGAGTCTTGTATTACCTTACTAAGTTGATACCTAAACTGGTGACCCCGACGTTGGAAAAACAAAATAAAAACCCGAAGATGCAAACCAAGGGTAATACAGACGTCCTACTTGGCGAAACCTTCCGCGTTGGAGTAAGAACACCCCCGTTCAATCCCAGCGACCCAGAACTATGGTTCGCGCAGATAGAAGGACAGTTTATACTGTCCAACATCAGCACAGATGCTACAAAATTCTACTTTGTGCTAGCACAGCTGGAACCACAACATGCAGCTGAGATTCGCGACCTGGTTGTCTCTCCACCAGCTTCTGCCAAGTATGACACCATAAAAGCTGAATTAATACGGCGACTGTCAGCATCAAAGGAGCGCAAAATAAAGCAACTGCTAATGCACGAAGAAATGGGCGATAGAAAACCAACCCAGTTTCTGCGACACCTCCAACATCTGGCCGGACAAACAGTGCCTCCAGATTTCATTAAGACC